TTCAAGATTTGGCAAAAAAATGATAATGAACTGATCAAAGTTATTGGCATACATATTTCATAAAAGAGCAAATCTTTCCAATAAAAAGAACTTATTATTAGAAAGGAAGGAACAACAGAGGAGTAAGGAGCTGTGCTTTATCATTTAATACAGCAAATGCTTGAGAGCAAGAGCCAGGATGCGAGCTGCAGGTTCAAATCCACCTCTGCCTTCCCTAGGTGTGTGACCTTGGACAAGTTATTTACCTTCTCTGTGCTCCAGTTTCTTCATCTGCAGAATGCAAATAACAAGAGCACCTTCCCCCTAGGGTTGTTAGGAAGATTGTGTTCATAGAGCCCCCGGCTCATAGGAAGGTGTATATGTATGAATATTACCTGCTATCATCATCGTCTTCTCTTCATCCTCATCAAAACTCAGGAGGCCAGTATCACTTGTGTTCAAGACCCAGCTCCACCATTCACTTGCGTTGTGCCCTTGAGAAGTTCATTTTGCCTCTCATGCTTCAATTTCTTTGTAAAGTGGAGATAATAAAGTCCCTGCTTCCTAGGGTTACAGTGAGAACTAAATGAAATCATGTTGGTCGCATACTTAGAATGGGGCTTAGCACATGGTGAGTGCTCAGAGCAGGGGTGGTGGGAGGTATTGAGGGCTGATACCATGGTGGTAGCGTTTGTTCTTCTTTAGCTCCATTTTAATCCAATTAAGTATAGGGGCACATAATGAGTGGGCGACGATGAGGGCTTTGCTGTCCCCTTTTGACAGAGTAAGGAAGTTGAGGGTCAGTGATGATTGTGATAGTTTATAGGTTTATATTGCTTTACAGTTTTTGAAGCTCTTTACCTGTATATTGACTCCTTGATACAACAGTTCTGTGATGTTGCAGACAGAAGACCTGTCCTCGTTACCACTGTTTAGCAACTTCCTAGCCATTCCCCCATATTCATGGTGGACTTCAGCAACCGACTATGTATATCTTCCTCCCCACTCTAGATCTACTGTTCTTGAACACTTGGTTTTAGGTAGATGGCACGTCCAATACTTTGGACTTAAACTTCTTTGCTCTCATCTTATTTCATAGGAGCAACCCATCCAAGTGGCCATATCTTGGATCCTGTTTCCCCAAGAATCGTTTACCTCTAAATTCTTAAACTTTAGGACTCTACCCTTCAGCCTCTTATTACATACTTAATAATTTATAGTTTTAACTAGTTACTGATGGGTTCTGTAATCATATTTTTACCCAGTTTACAGTAGATAAAAACATTTACCTGTTAAAAAAAATCTTTTTCACCTTTGATGGTGCAAAGGACTATAATGCAGGTAAACTTTGTAGACTGCCCAGGAGAAAGTCATAATCCTTGGTGATTCATTTTATCAGAGAAATCCTACTACAACACCCTTTGCTTTTTTTAAGTTAAAAATATGTGTTTACTAAAGAAGGGTTAAATATATGTTAAAAGTTACTATTTTGGTAGTCAGTCTGGATAACAAGAGTGTGATTTTTCTCACCAGTTAGAGGGAAGGAAATGATGATATTAACCAGTAAATTATAACATTAATAGTTTTTTTAAAAATTTTATCACTCTAAACCCACTTTTGAAGATTACATATTAGCTCCATTTGTTACTACATTTTAATAACTCTTATTTTTTTCCTTCAGTTTATGGGGCTTTCTTAATTGCAGGAAATACCTTTTTAATTAACGTTTATTAAAATAGAGTGAAAATATAGAAAAGTACACAGGTCATAAGTAAACATGAATTTTCACGAAGGGCACGCACTTGTGTAAACCACCCGGGGCCCCCCCCCGCCGCCCCACGCCCTTCCCCGAGTGTGAGTCCGAACATCACCAGCATCCCAAAGTCCTCACGGTCCGTTATAGTCTTTGCCCCTCCCCCCTCCACCCACACACACCAAAGACATAATTTTAAAGTTTATAAATGAATATTCATGTGTGCTGTCGTTTTTTGTTTCCTCTTTGCCAATCTTTGTATTTATTCTTTTTCTCTATTTTTAAATTTTTGTGTTATTAAAGTAACACATAACATATAGTTTTTACAAGTTAAGTCGTAGTATAAGGCTTATAACAAAATACAGCAATTTCCTGCTCCACCGCTCCCCCCTCCTATTTTTTATTAACCAAATTTTAGGTATTATCAGTTGACTTCCTATTATAGTAAATAAGGACTTAATTCTTTTATATTAGCATTTCCACTGCTTCCCTTTCTTATTTTCCCAATGTATTTATATTAAAAATTTTGGTTACATGAATATTTTCTATTAATATTATATGCCTATGCAAATTATATTCAAAATAGGTATTACAAGATAATATGATTGGGGGTATTTTTTGCTTTTTGTTTTTTATGATGTTAATACTTGTCTTGGTTTTCATGTGATTCTCTTTGTGAGCCTCTTGTCTAAAATCATGATCTCTCATGCCCTCCTTTTTCTGGCTTTAGCTCTGCATACAGTCGCTAACCCGTGTACCTGCCAAATCCAGCAGAATCTTCCAGTCCTGATCTTCTGTAGATGTACTCTCCTTGTTACTTTCTCCTTCCCTGGTTTCCATGACATCGCTTTCTGCCACCTTTCCTTTGTGCATAGACCTCTGTTCATCTACCCTCCTTTTAAATGTTGTGTTCCCTAAGACTATCCTTGGTCTGATGCTTACCCAACACAGTCTCTCTAGGCAATGTCTGCCGTGGCCATGAATGACTTCTATTATGTATTCTTCTATATAGAACTCTCTTCTAAGGCCCAGATCCAGCTATTTAATCATTGTACATCAAATAGAGAGTATAAAAACAAATTTGTTATTGCCTCCCCTTATATTCAGGGTCTCTCTACTTATGGTATCTGCATATGAATTGGGTAGAGGTGTTTGGTATCTGCCCCCTAACCCCAACACAGAGGCACTCTATCTACCTCCTTACCCTTTTGCAGTTCCCTCTATGCACCCACAAATACACACACACAACCTGCTTCACCAACTTTCCCCCTCTCAAACAGCAGTACTGCAGCTCTCCATTTTTATTAGCAAGAAGGCCAAAATATTTTTCTTCCCCTTTGGCTACTCATCGTGGCTAAAATGAGGGGATAGGGTGTTGGGCCAACTGTGATATCCCAGAAAAAACCAGAATTTTACTAATTTAGTATGCTTCATTTGTCCATGTTTTATAACTATTTCAATAGACCATCTCTTTCGAAGTATGTTAATCCTTGAAACGTTTACAGAATGATTACTCGAAACAGGTAGTGCACATTCATACCATTTCTCCTGCATTGTGACTTTCATATTTAAAACCATGAGTGGAATTGTAATATCTATTTCATTACTTTCAGATTTAAAACTACATGTTGGATTGTAATGTGAATTTATAGGCAGAGATAATTTACCTTGTCCATCAAAAAAGAAAAAAGCACAAGTGAGTGTTCTCCTGTCCGCTTTTCTCCCTGTATATAATTAGGACCATAAGTCTGAGCTCACATTCGTAACAGTGTTCATGGGCCAGAGGAGCCCTGATTCCTTGGATGCGTCTCATGCCTAGATCAGAATGCTCTACGGGGAGACGGAGCAAGGTGTCACACTGGTTGCATTTCTCTTAGCAAAGCTTTCTGAAAGAGGTGTGTTCATTCAGTCTTTCTTTAAGGCATAAGTACTCCTTGCATCAGAGCTGTGTGCCAGGCTTGATGTTAGATACTGGGGACACAAGGTGATGAAATGTGGTCCTCTCCCTGAAGTGGAGAGGAAGAATAAAGATGTGGCACCCTGTCTCTTGGAACCTTGCCACTCAGAGTGTGATCTGTGGACCATCAACACCAGCATCACCTGGGAGCTCGTTAGAAATGCAGAATCTCAGTTAAGACGGAGCGGCATCTCCATCCAGGATTCCTCATTTACAGCGAGCTCCTGGGTGATGCCAATGCTGTCCGTCCAAGGGCTGCACTGAGTAGCAGCAAGGTGTGAGGGCAGTCTCCTCGAGCTGGTTCTTTAGGTGGATCCATGTGTCTTTGCTGGTCTTCTGTCACAGGAGTGGATGACGGAGGATGCACTTTCTATGCTTCCAGGCAGCCTTGAGATACACAGCCTAATATAGATGTGACAGATGTAGCTTGTCATAACAGTGTAACCCACGGTGGGGCTCACCTTAATTCATCTATCAGCATTCAAGGCATCTGATTAATGAAAATGAGATGGCCACGAAATTGCAAATGGTGAGCGGACCTGGGGTAGTTGGAAGGTCAAGAGCTACTTTGTGGGTACCCTGCATACCTAAGGCAAATGCACTAGCAGTTTATTATGCAACAATTAGGAAGGGCCAGGACCTCTTTTAGCAGAATTAGAGTGTTATCACTGCAGTCCAGGTGGGAATAGTGAGGTCCAACCTAAAGGAGGAGAAGCTGGATTTAGGACTCATTAGGAATGTTGAATCAAATTGGTTACATGTGGCCCAGCCAGGAGAGAAGAGACTCTAGGTTGGTGCTCAGGTCACTGGCTCTGAGACTGCAGGAGGAAGAGGGATCTGGGATCTAGGTTTCCCTCTGGGATCGATGGAGCATGAGATGTTGATGGGACATGGCTGGTAGATATGGAGGTGCACAATCCTGGGGCTCCAGAGAGGAGTCGGGCTGGAGCTGCGCTGACAGTATCGGGTAGACTTGGTCATAGTGTATTTGCAGCTACAGGTGTGGAGCAGATCATTCAGAGAGAGCCCTCAGAGTGTGAAGAAAGGTGCACAGAGCCTAGGGCCCTGTGGAAGCAGAGCCCTCCAAGGAGCCTGAAAAGGGACACTGGGAGAGGTAGTCGGCCTGCGATTCCAGACCGTGGTTCGGGATGGCTCGTCTTGTATTTTATTTTTCAAAAGTGACGGGTGATATTCTTACAGGCCTGACAAGGTTTTTCACTGTCATCTTCGTTGATGGTGAGGGTAGCTCTTTGTTTTTAGTTATTGTTTGGTTGTTTCTAGCTTCCCAGTTTCTCCTGTGCATCTTTTAAGGTCCTTACAGTTCTGGTCAGGGCAGTGATGGATGGGATGGCTGATCGTAGTGGAGATGTTGCATCTGGCCTCAGAGGAAAGCTGCAGGAGCTGTTTGGCAGAGTAACTTCAAGAGTGACGAACGACGGAGAAATCTGGAGGCTATATGCCCAAGTGTGTGGAAATGGGCAGAGTGACAAGCCTGATGAAAATGAAAAGGTGAGTCGTGCCTCAGTCCTCCGGGGCTTTTGCCTTCTGTTTGAACATAGGTGTAGTGGATCTGCTTTTTTGATGGTTGGAGGAAGACTGTGATAATTTGAAAGGTAAGATGAATACGCTCAAGTTTTCAGGTGTGATTCAGAGTTCTTAACATAAGCACCCTGAATTGTGGACACGTTAAGATTTGTAAGTATTCATCTTTTTTCTTTCCATGAATTTTTCTTAAATAATTGTTCTCTGTTTCCTGCAAAAGGGTCTGTCTTAACCTGCTCTCCCTCCAGAGCTGCAGCGAACAGCTGGTTCTTGTTATTTACTCCACACCCCTTTCTGCAGGCTCCTTCCTGAAGACTAAGGTAGACGGTACAAGGACAAAAGAGTGTTTAAATCCGAGATGGAGACTATGAAAAGGAGAAAGAAAAAGGGGCTAGATAAGAATATCAGAGAGGAGCTTTTAAAGTCTAAACATAAAATATTTTACAAAGGTTACCCTGCCCCTTTCTCACAAGTGCAGTAGAACACCAGATAGATTCAAGTTATGCCTTAGCTTCTTATCTTAGAATGTAGATGCACCTCCAGAGTTTCCAAGGTTGGAATACTAAATATTTTGTGCTCTTTTCAAAACATCCACAACAAATCAAGTGTAATTCTTGTGTAAGTTTGGAATTCGCCACAGTACAGCTAATCTGTGGGATTCTTAGCCATTCTCTCCTCCCTCAGTCCACCCAGCTGGCTTCCACCAAAGCCCCGTCAGCCCAGAGAACACATACTCACACGCAGGCATGCACACACTCCTGCTTTCCGTCCTTCCATTTTGCCTTGAATTATGTCCCCTGTTTATGTGCAGAATTAAGGGTACTCTGAATTCTCTGATCTGTGACTTCTCCCTCAAGAATCCACAAGGGTGGGGTTGTGAAAGAGAGTGTTTTAAACATCTGTGAGTTTACACACCTACCAGTAATTCAGTAGTTTTCACCAAGTTCACACCTCATTCTCTAAACTGGTCTCTCAAGCTGATGGCTGTAAATGCTAGGGAAATGTGTATACTTCTTATAGATTTCCAAACCAAGCGTTTTTATTTTTCTGTTTGGAGGGAAGTGTCTCTATCCAGACACATCCAGTTGATTTCTTTTAATTGCTCATTGCTGTTGGATGTACATCTATGCCCCTTCTTTGATGAGAATCATAGAAACTGTGCTACATAACAAGAGAGACTGGTTTTTCGGTTGGAATTAGTTCCATATGACTTCCAGGAAGCTGAGTTTGAAATGTGAATTCTACTTGTTAATCTGAAAGTTGTTCTTTTTCTTTCCTCAGGCGTTCCAGTATCTCTCTAAGGCATACAAGTGTGACACACAGTCCAGTTGTTGGGAGAAAGATATTACATCATTTAAGGAAGTGGTTCAGAGAGCCTTAGGACTCGCACATGGTATTTGATGTGATGTTTGATATCCATGGCATATTTTAATGTATTTTTACTGATAAGAAGTATTAGTCAAAAGCAAAGTTCCATTACAAATAATTTCAGGTTATTTCATTATATTAAAATTGTTGTAGTTAATTCAGCAAATATTTACAGACCAACTATTATGTAGTAGGCACCCTGGAGCAATAAGAAGAAATAGGCTAGAGGCTTAAATAGTGTTTGAATAAGTGACAGATGATAGAAACTTTAGAGATAGGAAATACTTTTACAACTGTATTTAATCTTCACTTCACACAGAAGTAACCTTCTCCTGCATTGATGATGTAGTAGTGAGAAAATATTAACTTTTCCTGACTCATGTTCTTCTTTTATAAATGAAAATATTCATAAAAATACATAGATTTCTGGAGTGCATAGCAATATACATAAGAGCTATGGCATATACAAAGGAAATTACAAATATAATCTAATCCATAACTTTGGGAAATTTAGTGGGTGATATTTGAGGGGAGGGAAAACCTTACATATAAAATTGTAGGCCAGTTGGGGTAAGATACTCCAGATAAAGGCCGCCTTTAATTATTTGCATTAATGAAAAATATACTAGTTAAAGGTAATAATGCACTTTTATATTTATGTTTGAATATAGGCATGTGATGCCCTGGGAATGCAATTCAAATAAAATAATGAAGCCACACTGTCAAGAACTGAATCACAAGGACTGTGAACCTATCCTAAAGTCCTCCTCTAACTTCTGCAACTAATAGTTGCAGCAAATAGGTAGCCAACAAGGGACAATAAAAAGGGCAGAACTTTGGACTCAGGGAGGCCCAAGTTCCAGGACCAGCTCTACCACATACTAACTAGGTGACTTGGGGTCACCATTACTTAGCTTCTCTGACTCTTAGTGCCCTCATGGGGAAACTGGGGATAACCTACCTATGGTTGTTATGAAAAATAAGTAAAAACATATTTAAACACTTACCAGTATCTTACACATGGTTTAAATGTTAATCCCTTGCCTCCTTACCCCCACCCTGTTCCTTCTATGGTAGAGGATCTGGGCTGTATGATAAGGGACTCAAAACTAAAAAGAAAAAAACGAACAAGAATAAAGTTTAACTTTGCCTTGAAAGAAGTCATAGAACATTCAAACAATTTAGAAATGGGCTTAGTAGTTAATAATTACTTATCTTTGACAAAAGGATATAACTATCCAAAAGGTTGAGATAATTGCCGATAGACCAGTGGAAGGATGGTCTAGGGTGGCTAGAATTTATGTAGCTTGTGCTGGCCTCCTGGTGGGTGGGCTTAGATGGAGCTCATTCTTTATCCCTTTGGCCTTTGTGGATATGGTACTGTATTTCAGTAAACCCATGCTAAGCAGTTATAACAGGGTGCAATTTTCTCTGAATTTATCTGAGCTACTTCAGCTTGCCAACCCTAAACATTTCGGTGAACAGCAGGCTCTATAACAGTCAAAGCCAAGATATTTTCTGTAATCACTAAGTGATAGTGTTAAACCTGTCAAATATAAATATGCAGGTTAAAGAAGTACTCTAGGAAAAATCTTCATTTTGCCTCTTAAAGTTGATTGCGAACTATTTTTGGTACCTTTTTTTGTTTTTTCATCCAGGCAATACTTAGAGAAAAACAAGTGTCTGTTCTTTTTTTAAGTTTCCCTTTGACTTAGTGAATTATGTGTTCGTGCTCCTGCAACATTTTAAGCATACTTGAGTGGATGCTCAGCTTTCTTTTCTCGTGATATTTTAGATTTATGGAGATAAATCTTAACCTTTTCTATGTTGCTTTTGTATACCAGTGCTTCATGGAAGAAAGAGCTGAGTTTCTCTGTTATTTCTGTTCTCTTTTTTTAACTTTCTCCCCATCACTGTTCTCCACCTCACCCAATTCTGGAAAAGGAAATATAACATTTAGAAAAATCTCCATATGATTTATTCCCTTCTGGGTTGCTATTTTTAAGAGTAGCCACGTGCTTCAGAAAGCTTGGTGTAAGACATTGTGGTCTCCACGTAGTGTTGGAGACCCTTCTATGATAGTGTTGTCATCGTGTACCCATTGTTCTGTCTGGAAGGTATTCATTTACAGTGTCTGCTGTTCTGTCTTCTGGGAAAGAGTGGACAAAAGTTCGTTCCTTCTTTGCCATCCAGGAACTTCTAAAATAATAATTACACATTTTAACTACAGTCTGCCTGGAGGAAGCACAGCTGTCTTGGATTTCCCGATGATTTGAAACAGCAGGTTGTTTCTCTCTCTCCCTGTCTCTCTGTCTCTCTCTCTGTCTCTCTCTGTCTGTCTTCCCCCCCCCCCACCGTCTCCCCATCTCTAACGCCTTTTGGAAATGGGATTGAGGAAGGGGACTAATGGAGCACTGTTTGTCTTTTTGCTTTTTTGTTTTTATCAAAATGACAATGAAGGATTGAAAACAGAATCACAGCTGTTTTTGATATGTTACTAGGTACTAAATAGCCCAAGTACCTCAGTAATAGCAGTTACAACCTTCCTCTATTATGGGACACAGACATCATAATCCTCACTATCTCCATGTTAACTGTACCCTTTGAAAATGCGTGTAACGTTGTTGATTACCATGCATCCTTTCAAAGTCTGATTATTATTTTAGAATAGGAATGTCAAGCATAGTTCTCACCAGCCATGGAAGGTGTTAATGAATGGCAAAACTATTTTGCCAGGCACAAGCAACCTCCAATTGGTGAGAGTTTGCATACAGAAAGAAATCTGTTTTCCATCCCTGTTCTGTGATACAGGGTACTAAGTAAACTTCAGTTGTTGCACTGTTTAGTGTAGTTTTAAAATAGGATCTGATTATTGATCTGTTTGTAGTGAGCATAATTTAGAGGAACAAGAACAAATCAGTGGAGAAATACGAGGCATTTTAGATATATATATATATATATATATATATATATAAGCAAGACATTAAATATTATTTATTCCAAGTTAGTTTCATTCTTTTAGAATTTCTCATTTTGTGCATGTTTTATTATTTTTTTTCTTTCTTAATTCAGCAACATTTTATTTTGCCCCTCTGCTCACTAGGCATTTACTGTCTTTTTTTTTCTTTTTTTATATATACACATTCATATATATATATATATATATGTGTGTGTGTGTGTGTACTTAAAAAATTTTTTTTAACATCTTTATTGGAGTATAATTGCTTTACAATGGTGTGTTAGTATCTGCTGTATAACAAAGTGAATCAGCTATACATATATCCTCATATCCCCTCCCTCTTGAGCCTCCTTCCCATTCTCACTATCCCACCCCTCTAAATGGTCACAAAGCACCAAGCTGATCTCCCTGTGCCATGCAGCTGCTTCCCACTAGCTATCTATTTTATATTTGGTAGTGTGTATATGTCAATGCTACTCTCTCACCTCTTCCCAGCTTCCCCTCTCCACCCTGTGTCCTCAAATCCATTCTCTACATCTGCATCTTTATTCCTGTCCTGCTCCTAGGTTCATCAGAACCATCTTTTTTTACATTCCATATATATGTGTTAGCCTATGGTATTTGTTTTTCTGTTTCTGACTTCACTCTGTATGACAGACTCTAGGTCCATCCACCTTACTACAAATAACTCAATTTCATTTCTTTTTATGGCTGAGTAATATTCCATTGTATATATGTGCCACATCTTCTTTATCCATTCATCTGTTGATGGACACTTAGGTTGCTTCCATGTCCTGGCTATTGTAAATAGAGCTGCAATGAGCACTGTGATACATGGCTCTTTATGAATTATGGTCTTCTCAGGGTATAGAGGCATTATATTTTTACAAAGCTCTTCACTTGTTCTTTTTTTTTTAATTAATTTATTTGGCTGTGTTGTGTCTTCGTTGCTGCACAGGGCCTTTCTCTAGTTGTGTTGAGCAGGAGCTACTCTTTGTTGTGGTGCGCAGACTTCTCATTGCAGTGGCTTCTCTTGCTGCAGAGCATGGGCTCTAGGCATGGAGGCTTTAGTAGTTGTGGCACGCGGGCTCTAGAACGCAGGCTCAGTAGTTGTGGCGCACAGGCTTAGTTGCTCTGCGGCATGTGGTATCCTCCCGGACCAGGGCTCGAACCTGTGTCCCTTCATTGGCAGGTGGATTCTTAACCACTGTGCTTAACCACTTGTTCTTAAAAAGCATTAATAGGCAGGCCCTGTGCTAGGAAGGGTTACACGCTCTTGATAATTTCAAGTTTTAGGAAAATGGGCTCTCCAGAATGCTGGAGGTAGAGGTGTCGGGAATGAGTGACTGTCCTCTCCCCTACTTCTTGCTAATGGATACCAAGCATGGCTTAGTGACCCCAGAGCCTGGTCGTGGTCACGTTCCCTAAATGCAGGCGCCTAGGTTGTTGGCGTCACTTCTTCCAGAATGGTGATGTAAACTCTGAATACGAAAATGCAGCAAGAATTGAGCTGTAGATATCTGGCACGTCACTTCTTTGGGCTGGTGTCATCTGCAATTGTGATTCCCCATTAGGGACTCAGTACCGTGAGAAGCCACATTAAGATGAGCTGTATATGTTTTTGTTCTCTGTGGGTACCTTGTGTTCAATTAGACCTTGTCTCTGCCTAATTTCATTACTCTGTGCTTGTGTGTGTGCACGTGCATGTGTGTTTTCACGGTCCATTCCCAACAGTCTGTAACTCACCAAATATCCCTCATTTTCCTCAAAATTTTCCTTTTAGCAATAAGCTATCCTTCTTAAGGGATAAAAGGAAAATTTATGCATATAACTTATTTTCCTTTCACCAAAATAAAACTTGTCACATAGAAATATTTCTGAAGTCTGTTACTATAAAATCCTGATTAACTAATTGGTTTTTGTACTTACAAATTATCATTATCAATTTTTAATGGATGTTTTCCCCATATTTATCTTCCAGTGGCTATAAAATGCAGTAGAAGCAAATCCAGTCCCCAAGAGGCTATACAAGTGCTTTCTTCAGTGCGACTCAATTTACGGGGCTTGTTATCTAAAGCAAAGGTGAGAGTGAAATGTGAATTAATTAGAATTATCACAGAAAATAAAAGGTCTTTGGTGTCAGCCAGGTGCTCTTAAGTCTTCCTTCACATGAAGGATAATTTTAGGCCCATGTTATATTTTAGACATCAGCCCCCAGGTGATTAGTTGTACTGGTGAGGAGATCATTGACCCAGTGGCTAAATCACCCTACACATGGGTAACTTAGGAGTCTTTGAAATTAATATTTATAATCCGGCTCTTGATGCTTTCTTTAAGTCAAATTAAAACACTGCTCTACTACTTACTATCACTTTTTCCCGAAGTGTGGCATATATACTACTAGTAGCACTTGGGTAAACATTTTATTTTAATATGTATTTATTTCAGTGCATCTCAGAAAAAGTATAACTAGCATATCAAACCTACAATTTCATGAATAGTATTGCTTATTTTCTATTTACAGTAGTGTTCTAATGTTTCCTTTAAAATACTTTTATTTAAATAAAAAATTGATTTAGAGACGAATATTAAGTAGGTGATATATGGATTTGACACAAATATTAAGGTAGATAGGTTGACTCAAGCCTGACAACTAAAACATACGGTATCAGATTACAAATGCCAACCTATGATCCAGTGCTAGGATGGGGACACCCGAGAATTATGGAGGGAGGTTTTTTGAAGATTGGACTCCACATCTCTACCTGGGACAGATCGGGTCTGGGACAGAGCCTGGGAAGTTTGTGTTAAATTTCCCAGGTAATTCTAACATGCAGCCAGGTTTGGAGTACACCTCAGGAACAAAATTTAAAGGAATATAACTTCTAACACACTTTAGCACTTTTTTTTCTAATCTTTCCTTGCCTTCACTATTTAATCCTGGGTTGCAAACTAATTTTACTTCACTTCTGAGAGCAAGTCCATGGCAAGTGAAGGTCACTTCTGGACACATGTAAAAACCTTTCCAGACTATGCTTTTTATTAATTGATGATCTTTTCAGATCAGAGCATCATTTTTGCCTCTTTAGATTATTAACTCACTTTTCTGTCCTTATTAGTCTGCATGCTGGAACCAGGTTTCTGTAATCTACCTGGGGAAACTGTATTTCCTCCCAACAGGAAACTTCAAACAACTTCCGATTATGAGTCTCTCAGAAAACTGCAAGAGCTCTCTCAAAGAAAGTCAAGGTAGCAGACTTTTTCTGTGACTCTCCTTCCCAAATTGGGAGCTAATTTTCCTAGTTTTGGTGAGATCACTAACCTACCCATGATTGTTTATTTCTTCAGGATGTACTCTACAGATTTCCCTATTCTGTGCAAAACTGTTTCTTATAATGTATTAACTTTACATAAACCTATACTTATATGACTTAAATAGTCTTGTCTGTACTACCCATCCGTTCATATTGTGGAACTCCAAACATTGAAAATGAGACCTTAGAACATCATCTGTATTTAGATTTTGTTCTCATTAGATCACAACTGGATTATCTGAAAATGGGAAAAATTGCTTCCCAACATCTCCTTTGAAAGCACCTTTTTGCATATAATATTTGGGAGTCTCTGATTTTGTAGTAAATCATATGCCTTTTCTACTTTTTCAACAAATTGGGTTTGCTAAGCAGAATTGCCTTCCAAAAGAACACTTCTGCAGAACACTTTAAAAAGTGAAAATGGGGGGCTTCCCTGGTGGCGCAGTGGTTGAGAGTCCGCCTGCCGATGCAGGGGACACGGGTTCGTGCCCCGGTCCGGGAAGATCCCACATGCCGCGGAGTGGCTTGGCCCGTGAGCCATGGCCGCTGAGCCTGCGCGTCCGGAGCCTGTGCTCCGCAACGGGAGAGGCCACAACAGTGAGAGGCCCGCGTATCGCAAAAAAAAAAAAAAAAAAAGTGAAAATGGGGCTTCCCTGGTGGCTCAGTGGTTGAGAATCTGCCTGCCAATGCAGGGGACACGGGTTCGAGCCCTGGTCTGGGAGGATCCCACATGCCACGGAGCAGCTAGGCCCGTGAGCCACAGCTACTGAGCCTGCGCGTCTGGAGCTTGTGCTCCGCAACAGGAGAGGCCGCGACAGTGAGAGGCCTGCGCACCGCGATGAAGAGTGGCCCCCGCTCGCCACAACTGGAGAAAGCCCTCGCACGGAAACGAAGACCCAACACAGCCAAAAATAATAAATAAATAAATTTTTTTTAAAAAAGTGAAAATGAATGACGATAACTGTGTTAAATAGCAGGCTTGGTTTGCATGAATCTCTGGTCTCTTCTTGCCAGGCCTGGGACTTCATGGAATTAAACTCCTAGGTAGAACCTAGAGATTCACCTAAAGTCATGAAGTCCATGCTTGGCCAGGACACAGTAACTCCTCGGCCCTCAGCACCCTGTCCTTGTACAGATTTGCTGCAGGGGGTCGTGAGGGCGGTTGGTGAAAACGCTGGAGAGCCTGGAGACAGAACAGATTTACCACTTACACTCCATGGGATCCTCAGCAAATTATTCATTCTTTCTAAGCCTAAGTTTCTTTCTGCTTTCTCCTTACTTTATAGGGAAGTGATGCACACTATTTTTTAATTAATTAATTTACTTTTGGCTGCATTGGGTCTTTGTTGCTGTGTGTGGGCTTTCTCTAGTTGCGGCGAGCGGGGGCTAGTCTTCGTTGCGGTGCACGGGCTTCTTATTGTGGAGCACGGGCTCTAGGCACGCGGGCTTCAGTAGTTGTGGCTTGTGGGCCCTAGAGCACAGGCTCAGTAGTTGTGGCTCATGGGCTTAATTGCTCAGCGGCATGTGGGATCTTCCCAGACCAGGGATCGAACCTGTGTCCCCTGCATTGTCAGGTGGATTCTTAACCACTGCGCCACCAGGGAAGTCCCAGTGGTGCAGATTTATGATGATTTGCAAGTACTGTAATTCTTAGTAAAAACAAATATGCTATGTGAGTCCAAGTTACTTTCCTCAAAGGTGTTTTCTCTACTGATCACATCGCAGCGGTTGGTATGTCAATCTGTTGTGAAATGCTGTACAAGGCGTGACTACACAGTAATGTGGCAAAGCTTTGCAAAGCATTTTTGAAGTTCTGCATTCAAGTGAATGTTCTTTGCTCCATAAATCACTATGAGAAACTCTAAGCTTATTGTAGTGATGATGCCGTCACTCAGAACATCTTCAGAATTCCCTTTTTAAAATAGCTGTCAGAACAATTGCTATCATCTATGGTGGTAGTAAATAGTTATATTGTAATGGTAAATTTGATTTTTGTAAACAAATCATCTAGTCAGTTGTGATGAAAAAGATTTATGGTAAACTGAGTAAATTACATTTCTGATTAAAACACATGTACGCACGCACACACACACACACACACACACACAGTCATAAAATCCTGAAGCTGATTTCTTGGGTGCCTATACCAGCTCAGCAGGCAGCTCCTAGAGAGGCATTCCAGAATGTTTCAGCCATGGTGGCATTATTGGAGTATGTTGCAATATGCCTCCCAAGGCAATTCCTTTTACCGAAGGGGGGCACTTTTATTTTGCTGGGCTTTTTTGCTGTCACCAAATTTTGATGATCTTTGTGGCCTCTGAGTCCTAAGACATATTAATTTTCAAATAATTAGCATAAAAGTATGATTTATATGAACTTGAATATAAAATACATTTGTTTTGCTTGTATACACAAAGAATAGATTTCTTTTGTTTGGATGAATGATGTCTCTTTATCCAAAAACCATCTTATGACATTGAAATGAATAATATAATCAATATTCAAGGCAACCATTTTGAAGAGCAGAGCTGATTTGAATTTACAAGTTCAGGCATATTGTTTGATTCATCCTTTAATTGTTGCAGCTTGTATATTTCAGGATGGCGAATAGAACAAATACTACTGTTGCTACTATAATGTATTATTAAGCAAAGGGAATTTTAATTCTGTACTCTATCTATATTATTTTAAAGAGATTTTCATCGTTTTGATAGTTCTGCCTTGTTCTTTGTGTTGCAGCAACTTTTTACAGATGTGGTAAGTGGAGAAATTTCCAGGGAGTTAGCTGATGAAACAGCAGCAATGGACACCTTAGTAACAGAGCTTCAAGACCTAAGCAACCAATTTCGAAATCAGTATTGACCATCCTCAGAACAGCTTCTGGAAAAGGTGCTTCACCTTCTGGAATTTCTCTTATACCTGTGTATCTAAACTACAAGATACTAATTTTTTTAATAAATTTCTCTTGTATGGGTAACATTCTTTTGTGATCTTTCCAAATGTTTGAACTTTCTGAAATACATTAAATAAAATGTTCCTTCCTTCTTTCTTTAGGCTTAATTACAGTTGAATTCACTATTTTTATTATCCTTCAGGTATTTCAGCACAAAGAGCAAAAAAAATGTAGTTTTCTTTTTAGCGTAGGGTTTATTCTGTCACAGCCTAAAATGAATTAGATCATTCTTTGGAAAAAGTCTAAACAGGAAAAAAAGAAATCACACGCTGCAAGTTTGTGGAATCATTAGATTGGCTGATGTGTTATCCAAAAGTGATAAAAGAGTACTTTTGGTGATGGAAACCTTTACGCTTCTTGAGATTTTGTATTTGGGTCCAAAAGATATGGGCTTGGCTAAGTTAGAAATGTGGGTATGGTTTAACTTCTAAATCAGGGAAAATGCAAGAAAAAAATGACATAACTCAAATTTTGACTCAGCCATTAGCCACTAGTAACCAGGCTGACCCTCATTGTGTATACTGCCAGCCCTAAAGATGGTTATTTAATAAGGTTATTATGAGTGAAGACAGCTATAAATGGTGCCATATTACAAAAATGCCAAAGTAAAATGTTTTCTTAGTAATGTCTATGGAAACAAATATTGAAGGCAGCAGCTGAGCTTAATAATCTCACTACAAAAGTCATAGTAAGGAATTTGAAGTCCTGGCTTGGGTTGCTGAATATTGGGTCCCATGCATAAGTCATTTGACCCTTGCTGTTTTCCATGTTCTTATTTATAAAATGTGAATAATTTCTATCCCTTGCTGCTTTGTGAGTTTCTACTGCCTTTGGAGATTTAAAAATATGTAATCCACAAATGTAAGTATTCTGACCATTAAAAAAAAAGTTTTTAAAAACTTTCGTCAGTGAATTTTGGTTATGAATGCTTAGCAGTGCTTCTTTTACTTAACCACCTGCTTGTCTTTTCTAGTATCATACTAGCCTAAAAAAAAGCTGATGTATGTCTCAAAGCAGTTTCTCTTACAGGAGATGCAGTAACTATGAGAAAGACCAGTAAAATGATGTAGTAGCATGAATTAACATTAAATGTCCACTTGAATCTTTTATGGAAGCCATTGGGGAATAGGTGGGTGGGTGGATGGTTGGATGGAGGGAACGAGGTTTTAAGATTAAAACCTCTTTATCGGTACCTAGCTGTGAACCCCAATAGAAAACAGATAAATACTGAAAAGGGTAAAGATTTCAGGAATCGAGTAGAAGATTGAAGAAGAATTTCCAGGTTTTAGAAGTTTTTAGTTCTCAGTTTGTTTTCCTTTGGGTTCAAAGTAGAAAGGCACTGGTGAGTGTGAACTGCCACAGACCAAGTCCTAAAAGGATTATTACCTTCCAGTCCTATTTTCAAATGCTATAGTGGACCAAAGTCTCCAGGAAGCTGCCCTACACCTATTTTTTCTTGGGATGATCTCACAAAAGAGCTATTAGATATCTTCTTTTAAAGATATAGACCTATTAGTTATGTTTAATAGTCTTACTAGGTGAGTGAATGTTAAGTGAATGTTTAACATAATTGAAGAAAATGTCGGGGATAGGTACTATGGTAAAGTAGGAAAAACTTGGGTTTTAGCAAAACCTCATCTGTACCACCTCCTAACACTTAATACTTAACGCTCTGGTACTTGATTTTTTCATCTGTAGAGAGTGTTGTGATAATAGTACCTCCTATCAAGTTCTTAATATCTCTTATAGCACTTTCACCCAGGTGCAGAGTCAGTAACAGAGTATCTGTTTAAACAGCTGTATATCATTTCCAATAGGGTCTTTGATGCTTTGTATTGCTATGTTATGATTTATATACTTGCTATTTCCAAATGCCTTATCTTTTATAGATTTCAACTTTGGTTTTTTAGTATTAATACATTGGTTTTCAGAATTACTTTTTTGTCTTATCAACTAGAAAAATATAAAGGTGTTATCCTTCAATCTTTATTTGGTTCCCACAGCATAAATAATAATACTTACCGAGTACTCACTATGTACTAGGTAGGTTTGCGACATCACCAGTAAACTAAAGAAAGAGAAATAGCCGGAATTCGAAGACTGCTGAAACCTGCATTCTTTGTACTTGCTATGTTGGGGCTAGAAAGAACTTCCAATGGTCAGCTGATTTCAGTCTTCTCTTTCCAACAATGGGATACCTGGAAAGATTGCCTTTCATTGTTTATAAAGTTTTTCAAGGAGAGAAATTCTGTGAAATCTCAGTTAACAATTGCCTGTGGTCTGTTAAGATTATTTAGGATTATTTGATCTTTATTTTAATAAATTCTTTGTTGGCCTTTTTCCAAAGAAGCAACATAGTAAATGGGGACCCTAACTGCAAAGGAGTTAAAATAAACCCAAATGGAATAAGAAATCACTTCCCTACACCCAAACCCAAAACTCAGGAAGCTTGGAGAGTTGATACTGAGTCTGGGAAGCAGCGCCGTGGGGGGTGTGTTGAGGGGTCGTGAGTAGAGTGGTGAGGTTCAGAACTGCAGAATCCCAGAGTGGACTTTGAGGTTCCCATGTAGGGGTGGACAGCTTGGCCTTACCTCACATGAAGCCTCAGTACAGTAATGAGGACCCCAAACATTGAAAGCACTGACTTATTTCATTTTGGTGTATTTTTTTTTTAGATTTCTTTTTGTGTTTGTGGACCATTTTTAAAGTCTTTATTGAATTTGTTACAGTATTGCTTCCGTTTTATGTTTTGGTTTTTTGGCCCCGAGGCATGTGGGATCTTAGCTCCCCGACCAGAGCTCGAACCTGCACTCCCTGCATTGGAAGGCAGAATCTTAACCACTGGACCATGAGGGAAGTCCCCGACTTATTTAATGTTGTATCAAGGCTGTTCTCTTCATGCTGTGCTTGTTTCTGTTGGACATCTATTAGTGTGCTTTCATAAGCAGAAATGTGAAGAAATGGTATCAAGTATGTGTAGTAAATTCACCTACTTTCCAGACTACATTCAAAGATTGTGACATAAGCAGAGGTATGGCCAAGTTTGGGCTATTTGTGACCATTTATCCAAATTATGGTAAGTCTACTAGGTTAAAACCCTAGGTGAGTCTGATGAAAAGTATTCTTTTTTCCTTTTTCTGTTTGTATAACATTCACATTCATCTAAGTTGGTGTTTAGATAAGGTAACTCTATTTGCCAAGAGTGAGGAATAAAACCTGTTAAGTGGGTGCAACACACTTCCTTTCTGCCCGTTCATTCAGCAGGCTCTATAGTGAAATGGCAAAGAGCCTTTATTGAAATGGTGGGCGCCATGCTGTGGTGATACAGATGGATTTTTCACAACGTGCAGAAGTGCTTATAAATAGATAGGTTTCAATCAACAAGCAGCTTATTCAGGCATGTGCTCAAATATAGTAGCTGCATTCATTAGATAGACATTTCCACTAATCCCAAGACTATACTAATAAAAGAGTAATCCTTTATGGGCTAAAGGTAGTGCTGGCTTGCTTTTAACTCTTAGAGAGTCTTTCACAGACCAAGGCCTAATAATAATTGTAGCTGCATTAGGTTTTCACCAAGTGGACTATAAAAGCTGAGCTTATCTTGAAATTTTTTCTTTTCTTATTTTTTAAAATTGCAGTAGCTTAGTGGACAAAGAGGTACTTTTTTACTCAGGATATGCAGCTCACAGCAAAGCCAATTTAGAAACCAATTTTGTGTGCATTTGTGTGTGTGTTCTCATTACTTTATTATAAAGTGCCTTCTCTTTCACCGTGGTTAATAAAGTGGTTAATAAAGAGTTCGCTTGAGCAGATTTTGTCTTTCCCTTTGACTTTAGGATAAATAACAAGTTAATGTCAATTTTGAGGAGATTTGCAAACTCTTAGTAGAGTGGTTGGACTTTCTATGTGGACCTTTTCGGGATTGGATTTGTCCAACAAGGTCTTCACTCCTCCCGCACTGTTCAGAGCTAGCTGTAATTAGTTCGCTTTGCACAACACTAAAATTTTTCTCTTGCCAGTGATGTCAGATCTGCCTTCCTTTTTATTATTCTGACTTTTTATAAACACAGTGACCTGTGAGTCAACCACACCATCTCTTGGCCGTGTGCCAACATTGTGATTTATGAAGAGGAACTCCCGCCAAGTACTGTGAGGCAGAAAGCTGCTATTATGAAAGTGGTCCTCTGAACGGTAAGTATCAGCCATTTTTGAATCTTTTGTGGTGTTGCCAGAAAGGGGTGGGGGGAGGTAAATCATGTTAATGTTGTTAAGGAGCTGACCCATGCATTGCTAACTTTTTCCAGACTGAGGGCTCAAATGAACATGAGCATCTATAGGCATACAGATATTATTACACAAAGCTGCTCACAGACAGAGAAATGCTTCTTGAAGACTCTATTACCATGGGACTTGAGGAAGTCCTTAGCCTCTCTGTAAACTGTCAGTGATCCATATGACAGAGATGTTATCACAAGATCAATTGGGAAGATGCATGTGGAAGTGCTTTGAAAGTAAAATTTAATAGAAATACAAATAAGAGTGTCTTAGAAACCACTTGGTAATAAGCATTGATACAGCCTTTTCTGTTCTCCATTGGGAGCTTAATGACATTTAGTGCTGCTGGACCATGATGCCAAAGTGTCGTGATTCTCAGCATTTTCATTCTGTTGCAAACTTTCCATGTTTCTGGGCTACAGGTGCGGATAGGGGAAGGGAAGAAGGAAAGACTGTGATAGATTTTTATAAAGTCAAGGAGAAACAAAACCAAGTTCCTATCATCAGGATTTCTTGGGTTGGTGCTAGGAAAAGGAAAGAGTAACAGTGATGAGGGAGAGTAGGCAGAACAAATAGGGAATTGGCTGCCTAGGATAAACTCAGGGTTAGAAGACCTAGATTTAAGTCCCAGCTTCACCACTTCCTAGCTGTGACCACACCTGAGCATCTGAACCTCTTTGGGTCTCAATTCTCTCAACTATAAAATGCAAATAGCCTACAGACCAGACAGAATTGCTATAGGGGTCATATCAGATGATGTGTGCAAAGTGTTTTGTGAGCAACTGAGCACAATTAGTTCTTGTTATGATCAAGAGAAAGGGGCATTGTGGATGGTCTTTTGGGTCCCAGGGACTGGTGGAGTCCCTGGATGGGGGCATCCAGCAACTTGGCTCCAATTTCTGTAATCCCTGTGGGGTCATGACCCTCGAGCTTGAGAAACAATACTGCAGAATTGTTTCCAGTCTTCTGTGTGCCCTTTATCACTCTACTTACTGAAATCAGTTTGGCCTATAAGATGTCTGGTGCCAGGGTTGATAAAAGCTGTCTTGGTATTTTTACAGCCGTCTGGCCAGAAAACCTGTTTATGCCCCAACAGTTCTTTTTCACAAAAAAAATATGTAGCAGTAGCAGAGCTAGAGTGTGCTTCATATGCGCAGTTGGTGCCCTTGATCATAACCAGTAGGAAACAAGGTTATTTATTTTGAGGGGGTGGGTAGGCATGCCCTGATTAATGTTCACCTTCCTACTTTAATAAATTACACACGTGTTCCTTCCACGTTCATTGTCAAAAAGTTAACAAGCTAGAAGAAAAACACTAAATCACCCAAAATCGCACCCCCATACTAGATAACCGTATTAACATTTTTCTGCATATTCTTCTAGACTGTTTCCTATGAATGTGCACATACACATCTGAGAGAGAGAGAGAGAGATAGGCTTTAAAATTTTTTTTAATTAATTAAGTTTATAATTAAGCACATGGAAGTAGGCCTGCCTTTAATATGGTGGGGCTTTGAGCCAGAGTACAAATGGAGGCCCACATACCATATGTCTAAATTATTTAAAAGTTATAAACCAAGCTAAGAAACTGTTAAATAAAATTTGTTTTGTTTTTTGATCTT